TGATGCTAGACTTAGTTATTAGAAAAATTCTATGTAGTTATTGTATATAGTTGCAAGAATCTTAATAAAGTACTAGCGTAGCTGCTTAAGAGCAAAAAAAAAAAAAAAAAAAGCAGAAAGATGTGCTGTAATCAAGAAAAAGCAATTTTAAAATAATTTAAAAGCAGTTACCATATAGTCACGAAATAATGTACTGAGGCATTATTTCGAATTTCAATCTGAATTAAGCTTAATTTAGACTGAAATTTGAAATTACATCTCTGTGTGTTATTTCGTGGCTATACGATAATATAAATGCATTAAAGAATTGAAATATTAAAAAATTATGAGCTGATTCTCAATTTAATACTCAATTATTGTTAGCATAGCACACAATTTCCTTCTCAAGTTTAATGAAAAAAGATATTGAGTGGCATTTGAAATCTGCTAAAGTAAACTAACATTGAATCATTGGCGAAGATGGGTTTGATAAAATGTCCGTACAAAATGGATTGATGACCTGAATCTTAACTATAAAGACAGTGATAAAAATTAGTTATGCATGCAGCATGAATGCCAAAATACATATTGCCTATAATAGTCTTACATTGTATTTTGATCCTAATTGAATAAAAACATTATTGATAACATGACCTGATATTTGAAGTGACCAAAGGTACTAATCTAAAAAAGTAAGTAATTAAAGCTATAATTGAGGATGTAATAAAGCTAAAGTCAGTTGGATCTGAAAGGCTGTGCTAATTAATATGACAAATATAAATTATGAAATGCTAATCTAAAAAAAAAAATTTGATTAAAGCTATAATTGAGAATAAGAAAGTAATTTAAAGCCACAATTGAAAATAAATGAAACTAAAATCAGTTAATTTTCATTAAGGCTGTGTTAATTAATACATCTTCAAACATGTTAATAATTACATTATTAGGAATAATAAATTTAAGTTCTTTATACGTTAATATAAGAAGTAATAAAAATGTAATTAAAAATAAAACAAAATAAATAAATAAATAAATAAACCAGAAAGCCAAAATAAAATAAAGCTAAAATTGGTTAGGCCATGAATAGCTTTAATAATAATGTGTAATTTAATCGAAAATGAAAAAAAATAATTAAAGCCATAATCGAGAATTGAAATAATATTAAAGAATAAATAAATAAATAAAACTGTGAAAGCCAAAAATGAAATAAAGCTAGGCTCTAATAATACTATGAATGGCTTTAATATTAATGTGCTTAGAGGTATAATTTAATCAAAAATGAAAAAGTAATTAAAACCATGATCGAGAATTGAAATAATATTAAAAAAATAATAAATAAATAAACTATAAAAGCCAAAAACGAAATAAAACTAAAATTGGTTGGACTCTAATAAGGCTATGAGTAGCTTAAATATTAATGTGATTAGAGGTATTAATTTTATTGAAAATGAACAAATAATTAAAGCCATGATCGAGAATTGAAATAATATTAAAAATAAATAAATAAATAAAACCGTAAAAGCCAACAATGAAATAAAGCTAAAATTGGTTAGGTTCTAATAAAGCTATAAATGGCTTTAATATTAATGTACTTAGAGGTATTAATTTAATTGAAAATGAAAAAATAATTAAAGCCATGATCGAGAATTGAAATAATATTAAAAAAAATAATAAATAAATAAAACTATGAAAGCCAAAAATGAAATAAAGCCAAAATTGGTTAAGTTCTAATAAGGCTATAAATGGCTTTAATATTAATGTGCTTAAAGTGTTAATTTAATCGAAAATGAAAAAGTAATTAAAACCATGATCATGGATTAAAATAATATTAAATTAACTTGGTCGGTATGAGGCTGTGTTAGTGTGTATGAATGTTAGAAATGATGATTCAGTTTTACAAATAAAAAAAAAATATAAAAAAAATATAAAAAAATTGTAGTAAAGGAAAGTAAAATGAAAAATACTTTCATTATACTGCTCTAAGCCCCAAAATTAGTAAATCAGTTATTGGTTGAATAATTTATATTGACAGCTTTTTGTTAGATTGTGCCTAAAAGGTATAAAAAAAGCGAATTACAAATAATTTACCTTCGGGTTAAAAATATAAAATTCCTTTCGCTTTAATTAATTCTCAAAGAAATAATAATAAATCTTAAATTTTTTTGTTTGCTCTAACAATAATAAATATGGATGGCAAAAAAATGTGCACTTCATGCTTCCACCTATTGCCTCCAGAAGCCTTTATATACAAAAATAAACCTTACAAAACTTGCTCAGCTTGTTTAACCGCAAAGTCCAATAAAAGAGTGGAAAGAAATGCTTTACCTATTAATAACCAATTAGAAAGCATGAATAATCAAATAGAAAACCAATTAGAAAATGAAATAGAGACAATTACCTTTACTAACATTATTGAACATATTTCTAATAAAGTTTCAAGTCTTGAACAAGACAAAAAATTTTACTTCAACTTATGTGTCAAAATTGATGATGATATATTGGCTAAAGTTAATCATGATATGAGACTTTTAGTAAGATTGATAGTAGATGAGATCGAAGAAAGAAATGGATACAATTGGACATAAGCATCTTTAGATTAAACTATTAAAACTTAGATAGGAAATTAGTTATAATCAAACCTTTCTAAATAAATCTCAAATATAATACTTAGCTTCTATAAATGCAACTTTTTTATTCCCTAATAATGTTATTAAAATTTTGTATTTTTAATTACATTATGTTGCTTATATTATAGGTTCACAACTGGGCCTAATATATTGGTACGTCATCCTGGTATTGGTGCATTCTACCTTTCATGTTCTCAATCCTATGAACTAGAGCATAAGTTTAAAGAATCAAATCGTAAAAGAATAACCAGATTTGCCTGTTATGGCAAGTTGATTATTAATGTCAATATAGCCACAAGAGAAGCAATCATAAAGCTTAAACATGACATTCAGCATGAAAGACTTGTAAACATTACAACTTCAGAAGAAATAAAACATGAAATTATGCTAAACCTCTATATAGATCCTGTATAAGTGTGAACACACCATCATCAAAAATTCGATGCCTCACAAATTACTCCAAAGCAAATTAATTACTGGTGGTCTCTTTTTAATTAATGTTTTTTTAAATCAGATGAAGATCCAGTCGTTTCAGCATGTCACTTTTTAAAAAATTCTTGTAACAATAGTGAGCTTTGTTATGAGCGAAGAGAAGATTTGATTACTGCAATTGGATTAATAACTTCTTTACTAAATAAACTGTTACCAGTATCATGTATCTACTGTGATGTGATCTACAAAACCACTAAGGGGAGGTTTGAGCTTTACGGAATTATTAGCAATACTAATGGTATTGGGTTTCCAATAGCCTATTTATTTCTAAATACCACTAATGCATCAGACAATAATCAAGTAGAATTATGCATCAAAGCAATTATTGGTTTTTTTTGTTCCCTTAATAGTAAAGGATTGCAATCATGGTATTTTTTTACTAATAAGGATTTCGCTGAGATTAATGCTGCAAGAGAAGCGTGACCCAATATTAGTGTGCAGCTTTGTCTGTGACATGTAAAAAAAGCCATAAAAGAAAAACTCAAAAGTTGTAATAAAATCAAACATACCCAATACCAACCTGATGAAGCCATCGCTGAATTTGATTTTATTAACCCTTCATTCAAGCCTGATTTAAATCACCATAAATCTGACTATTATATTGTATGTCTATCAGAACTGCATGATGAAGTTATTAGTATTATTGAAAAACACTTTAACATCCATTTAAAAATTCCTATAAATGCTGCTGATCAATTTTTAACACCTAAAGAAATCTATAATAGTGCTGTTCATGTGATATATAGTTTTTGTTTTAAAAATAACCTTATACATCTTTGGGTATATTTATGGTGTACTTGGTATAAAATTACAAGGTGAACACCTTGGGCCTGGTCAATGCAAAGTACTATACCTCTGAGCAAGACTAATATAATAATAGAATCACATTGGAGGGTCATGAAGCACTGCTATCTTCATAGATTCAACTGACCATAGTTAGATTATGTTGTATGAATTATTTGTACACATCTTATTCCTAACCAACTCATTCGTTATTATCAAATTTGTGAGGCATGAATAACACCATTATAGTTCAATGATTTTAAAAAAGATTGGAACCAATCTGCTACTAACCAAATTTCTGATAGTGATAATACTCGCTACTTTATTGATCCTGAATGCTGGATATGTAGTTGTCCCCCATTTCTTTACTCTCGTTTTCTTATTTGTAAGCATTTAGTGCAACATGCAGTTAATAATGTGGTGTTGCTTGACTCTCAAGGTATTCGATTGCTGTATGAAAATTTTAAACGCCAAGAAGATTATCCTTTTTTAATTTGGAGTATAAATGGAAAACTTACACAGAAAGATTTCAATATAAAGCAGTTCACAATTTCACAAGTGAATATTCAATCTTCTTTGATTTCCCAGAATAGCAGTTTGGTTAAAATGGACCAAGATGAACCTTTTGATCCCGAAATGTGCTGGACCTGTGAACAAAAGGTGGCTGCAATAAAAAGTATGGCTACCCATCTAAAACAAGAACTTTTAGCAAATAACTTAAACCATGTTACTCAGGTAGTCAACAATATAGATAAGTTATTCAATATGCTAAAAGATATTGAAATAGCACAAAATAAAAGAAAGCGTGATCCAACTTGGCATGGATCAACCCCCTGGACATTTTTTTTGCCATAACAAATATAAAAAAATTATTGTACCGATCCATTCTAATTAAAAATAAATAAGTTAGCTAGTGTAAATTGGGGGTTTTTTAAAAAAAACAAACTGTTTAATTATAACGATAACTTGAATTAAGGATGTTCGGTAGATCAGAAGATAATCTAAAACCAAATATGGATAAATTGTTTTTCTTTAATAAATAATTTGGTTAAAAATCACTGTAAATTAAATAAACAGCTGGTAAATTGTATCTGAGCTACTTAAATTTAGTTTTATTTAAAATTTAGTTAGTTATTTTTATTTGCCTTGATATGATTTAAAATGAATAAGCCTTACTGATATATCTAATGCTATTTAGTCTTCAATTAACTGATTTTTTCTATTGAATAGGTCAATAATAATGGATTACATCATATAAGTTTCTCAATAAAAAAAAATTTTTACAAAAAAGCGAAAGTAACAGTAATGAGATTAGTGAAACCTAAGTTGCAAGCTAGTAAAAATGTTTTGTGGTAAGATCACCTTTAACAATAATTTTGAATATGAAAAAGCAAACTTTATTTGCATAGCAAGTTTTACTAGTTCACAAATCAAGCTTCAATCTTTTTTGCCAAAAAGTGTTTTACCGTAACTAAATCATGTTTACGAATAAAATATAAAATAAAGGACCAAAAAGATTGTTTTAAGTTTAAAAAGAAACTAGTAATCTTTCAAGTTTTAAAGATATAACTAGAATTGTAATAGAGAAAAAACTAGTACATACATACAACATAAGAGCGAAAGAAAAAAAAATAATTAAGAATTTTGTGATCAACATTTCGAATCAAATTTCCGGAATTGGTCATGGGTCAGATGATCACATGATCAGAAAATCTATCCTACATGCTGAATTCTTCGAAGTAACCAATGTTGTTTTAAAGAATCTGATTGATTTCTTAGAGTAGTAATAATATCAAGAGCTATGTTAGTAATAAATCTGTTTTTAATAAATCCATGTTGTTAGTAGGGTACCAATTCCTTACATATAAGATTGAGATGATTGGCCAAAATCTTTATAAAAATTTTGGTGTCACTATTTACTAGTAATATTGGTCTCCAGTTATTTATGTCTTCAAGATTTTCTGTTTTTTTAGATATTAATGAAATAAGACTTTTGTACCAAGAGGTTGGCATGACTCCTGAACTGAGAGCATGATTAAAAACACTATGAAGAACTGGTGTTATTGTTTCTTCAGTAAGTTTATAAAACTCATATATTAGACCATTTGTGCCTAGAGCTTTGTTGTTTGGGAGATTTCTAATAATATTGCTGATTTCTTCTTGTGTAATTTCTTGTATAAGAGATGAGTTATGTGTAGAAAAGACTTGTAGCAAGTTTTTAGTCATTTTTTCAGCTATGTTGATATCTATATCCTCTTTTTTATAGATTTCTACATATTTTTTTCTAATATAACAAAGAGTATTTTCTCTTGTTTGTTGTAAGACTTTAGAGTCCATAATGTCTTTTAATGCTAAGCATGCTTTTCTTGTTTTGTATCTGGCAAAGAAGTATTTAGTAGGTTTTTCTCTTTGTTCAATCCATTGAGCTTTAGAGCGAGTTTGCCATTTTTTAGCAAACAGAGCAAGCTCTTCTTGAAGATCTAAGTTTAGCATGTTAATTTGTGAATGTAAATAGTTGTTTTCAGAATTATATACTAATCTTTCTTTTAGTCGAGTAATGTTTTTGTTTAGTTTTGTAATTTTGTTTTTTACTGCTCTTGGTTTTCTAAAGATTCTAATGATAGATTGTATGTGTATTTTGTGAAAGTCCCAATCCTCTATATCTTTTAAGTCTGAAATTTCATCTAGTATTTCTTTTTTTAGTCATTCATTTTTAAAACAGTTCTTATCGAACCTTCAGAAAGCAGATTCTTTTCTTTCAGAGGTGAAGTTTAGAGTATATTCAACTAACAGATGGTCTGAGTTTTCAAATTTTATATTAACTTCTAAGATTAAATGAGCATTGTTTTTATCAACAAAAATATAATCTAAGTGTGTAGCCATAGTGTGATTGCCTTGAGTATTTTGAAAAAAGATATTAAATGGTTTTGTCTTAGCGAAGTTAGAGGAGTCAAGAAAATTTTTAGTAAGACCTTGAAGTTGTGCTTTTGTGATATCATGTTGTGGGGCTGCTTCACTAATTCTATCTCTTTCTGGATAGAGATTAGTATTGAAGTCGCCTTCAATGATATTAATAGCATTGTCTTTAATTTGAGGAGACCACTTTTCAAAAAACAGCTTCTTGTCTTCTGAACTAGGTGGAGCATATATGTTGGAAACTTGAAATGTAAGATTCTTGTACTTGAAATTGGTAGTGATGATTCTGTTGTTTAAATCTGATTCTATATTTTTAAAGGTTATATCTTTGTTGCCTGCAAGTATAGCTGTTTTGTTTGTCCAGATAGAGTCAAACATCCATTGGTTCTTAAGAAAGTTTTCTGTATTTTTGTCGTTTAGGTTTGTTTCTTGTAGCATAATTAGAAGAGTTAAAGTGTTTCATTGTTTTTGTTAATTGTTTAACCCTTTTCATTAAGAGTTGCTATTTTGAATCTGATGTGATTGGTCATGAAAAAAGAATAAAGTAATGGTACAAATTTAGATCTGGGAGTTCTGTACTCTGTTACGAGGATTTCTATATGGAGTCTTTCTAATTGGCTTAGCTTTTGTTTTGAAGAAGTTTTCTTGTCTTTTTTTTTTTTATATAAGACAACTGTAAATTCCTCTTCAGCATTATCAAAGCAAGATTGCAAATTAATGTTATTTGCAATTAGAACTAAGGAAAAGTTTAGAGCTTGAGGTTTTTTTGTTTCTGTGATCATGGTACTGATAATGTTGTCAATAGAAAGGTTTTCTTTATCAATATCACTAAAAGTTTCATTATAAGAACTTCCAGATCTTCTTTCATTGTTGCTGGGTTTTCTACTGTTTCTTTTTCTATTCTTTTAGAATTAGTTGTTTCTTCTGAATTGGCTAAAGAAGTTTCTTTAGCTTGATTCATATCCATGTTTAGGTCTTCTGTGCAGACCTCCTGTTTTTGTGTTTTGGGACCTTCTTTTTCTCTTTCAAAAGAAGCAATTCTGCTTTTTCTCTTGTTTGCATTAAACTCTTTAAATTGTAGTCGAAGTTTAACTGCTTGTA